TGGTTCCGCTATCGGAACGGAACCAATGATGGTGAGCCATTTTTTTTTTAAATAAAAAAAAAGGTCAATTTTAATGTTTTATTTAGATTACAAAAATAAATCATGATAAAAATAATTATGACATTTATGACATTTTAAAAATTAAGACCTACGAAAGACGGATTTAAGACATTTTAATACCGATTAAGGCCTTAGTTTCATTTTAAAGAATTCAGTGCCTTTTAAGACTTTTTAAGGACCCGCAGGAACCCTGGTTTATCACATAAAAGACTGACCCCCACCTCACCCAAACAAAATAAAGTTTATAAAGTGTAAGAAGGATTTGATTTTAGGGAAATCAAACAAAAGCAGCTCCACTGCAGAGCAGGTGCAGCAGCTTTGTGATAAAAGCACAGCTCATATTTCATTCTGTTTCCTGAAAACAAACAGCGATATGCTCCCTATGTGGCCCCTTTTTAATAGAATCTGGGTGACATCTAAATTGTACGTGTGCCAATGTTTGTGTGTGTGTCTCCTCACGTAGTTTTTTTTGTTTATGTCTTCCTGTGAATATCCCCATGACAAACGTTTGAGAGAAAAAAACAGCAGGTCGGTGCATCTGAGTGGCTCTCTGATGCCTCATCAACCCTCTCAGTGGAAATCAAAAGTTGTTTGTTGAACAAAGACCAAATTGTCTGCCCATAGGCTTATATTCAAATTACGCAAACAAGTCATATTTTCTGCTAACTGTGACAAATTGTATTTTAAATTAGTGCTTGGACAGCTTTTATGACACTTGATATGAAATACTATTATGCAGGTATCTGGTTGCAATGGTACCTCAATTAGATTCACCAATCAGTAGTTCCGTACTATAATGAGTTTTGTTTAATTTGGCAAATTAGTTTGAAGTATAAAGAGGCTGATAAAATCTGACCAGACAATATGACTATATCTGTAGACATTTGCATTTCACACATGGGGTGTGCAGGTGGACACAGTGGTTAGTGTGCATGACCCATTTATGGAGGCCTTAGTCCTCGACGCGGCTGACCTGGGTTCAAATCCGAACTGTGTTCCTTTCCTGTCAGAGCCAAAAAACTCTGCTTCATATTTTTCAAAGGATCCTTTGTTGAAGTGACTCAGTACATTTTATTTTAGTCACAATATTCAGCTTCCATCACTGAAGTTCATAGTCAAACTTTTTGCAGTCACATCAAACCTTTTTCGTTATATAGAGTAGCAGCCATTCAAAGTGGCGCTTCTCAGTCAAACAGCAGCCGAATGGCAGACAACTTCCCTCTGACTCCCAGCGAAATCCCCTCCAATTTCTAGCCACTGGAGCAGACATGTTCACACGTCATTTTTTGCAAGTCCAAGTCAAGTCTCAAGTCTGTTACAATAATTAATTAATCACACAATAAATTCTAATCACTCTATTACTTAAAAAAAGGTCAATAATTTTCATGCTTGCTTGTTCCTCCTTGTGTTTTCATCTCCGTCACTGAGACGGTATAGCTTAAATGTCACTATTATATCTATGGAATAATCATTATCTTGAACTAGTAAATGAAAAATGCAATTTAAAAAAGCACACACGCAAATTTTTTTTCCAGTTAAATTTTGCATCTTTATTTTTTTCTTTCAAAAACAACAATTTTCTTACAGTATTTACCTGACATTTGTGGTTACAACTTTTTCTAGTTTTAGCAGTAAATGTCTGCTCTTTTATTTTTAAGTGAAAATGAGGACTGTGGGAAAAAAAAACAATCACAACCCTGCCTTTTATTAATACATATGAGGTTAGCAACTACAAGAGATAAAGAAAAACCCTAAATAAATACCAGGACAATAACAATTCTTTCATAAAAGATACATTGTGGCAATAACTCTTTGTAACTTAATGCCCTGGAACAGACAGAACCGACTTGGCGGGCAGTATTTTCAATTCAATTCAGTTTATTTATTTAGAATTTCCATATATAAACAACTACAGGCAACAGAAAAATGTCCCGTAGTCCTCAGAGGGTTAACATCAGTTCAATTCAATTCAGTTTATTTCTATAGCTCCAAGTGAATTACCTAAGGGAAAACTAGAGGATAGGGGAATGGAGACAACTGAAAAACCACCAAACAGGAATAGTAAACTAATAAGTAATTAAAAACGTAATATAATTCTTAACTGTGAAAACAGAATAACAATTCCAAGCGGAACAGGAAAACCAAAGTGAAAAATAAACGAAACCAAAACTCCCTGAATGGCAGGTCATAACACTATTGTGCTTAAAGTCGTAGGGAAGTCATATTTAAATGTCAGATCATTCTGGCTTAAACATGTATATAAATGTACTCTTTATTAGATTATATTATCCCAAAAGTAAAAAAAAAATTCAATAAAAAAAAAAAAAATGTCTTAAAATCTGTGGGTTACTTTCTGGTATCTTCAGCAGGCCAGTTAGTTATACGTCAGCCTGAACACCTAAATTTGGCCAATCATAGATCAACGGTGATCTGCCAATCAAATGTTTTCGGTGATATCATCTTGATTCATATGTTGCAGCTAATATATGCAATGGTTGAAATCAGAATCCTTTCCTTTCCCATTGAGTTCCGTCCCAGTGTTCACGGGGATGGACGTCTGTGTCTTCAGCAGGCGTAGAGCTAACAGAACTGGCAGAGTTGCGAGGCAAGGGCTCAAACATGTACGGCTGGAAGCCTTCTACACCAAACCAAGCTTCTGCCGCCCTGGCGTCCTCTTCCACAACATCTTCGTCCCCGCTTTCCTCCTCTAAATAAAAAATGGATGACGGAGGAGACTTATCCACGACCTCCGACACTAACCTCTCCTCCTCTTGCATGTTTCCTCTGTCCATAGCGTTCCTTGACAGTGTCGTTTCAGTCACCAATTTAGTGCTACTTGGTCCCAATGGAATTTCCTATTGGGAACCTAATAACACTAATTTGCTAACTGGTTAGCAATTAATTTTGCAGGTGGACTCACTCATTACAAACATATTAAAATTACTTTTAAAAACTACTTTTTACCCACTGATCACAGTAAATATAGCTGCCATTGTTACAAGCTAAGAAATGATAGGGTAGCTATGCCCAACGCATCAGAACCCCTTTTTCCACCATGTAGCCAGAGCAGTCAGCAGTCACAACCAATAGCATAACGACACAACAACATTATCTGTGTGGACCCCATATGAAGTACACCCGGTACCACCTGCCGTAGACAACCGACCCGAAATGTGCCTGATATCTACACATTTCATAATACTTCACCTTCACTAGTCATGGATATGCTTTAGTATATTCTGCTGTAAAGTAAGTATTTTTGGGCTACCTTGAATTTCACAGCCCCCCTCCTCACCCACGCTCTCTCCATTCATCTCCTGGTCGCAATCTTCACTCACTGAAGCAACAACATCGTCCACCATTCGCTCTTTGGTTCTTTGAAAGAACGTGTTTATTTTGGGACGTTTTTTCCGTTCCTCCAGCAGCCCTTCTTTCCTTTTTCTTTTCTGGAGTCTGCTTAAGTACCTCTATTTGGTATACATCGTCGCTAACACATTGTCGTAATGGTTATGCTTTTAATCTACGCTCTGGATACTCATATACATCGTTCTTTTCAGATCTTTATTGGGGTTTGAAACATTTTATACAAGTTTATTTTTTACCAACTGTCCAATAATACACAGTTATTAACATAGTAATTAAAAGTCCCACTGTCTGCTTTGCTATTGGTGTCATGTTTAAATGACTCACCATCATGTTGAAATCTGCCATGTGTTGGGGTATAAATAAGGTCAGGTCAGGCAACCTAGTGTCAGGTGGGTTTAAGAGGAATTTTTCGCACCATTACATTTCCAAAGAGACCCCCTAGTGTACAATTGTGTAGGGTGTCAACCAGGTGTTAGTAACGGGCCCTTAAGAGGTCGGGGCCCCTTAACAACAGCGGCCTCAGCTTACCGATAGTTGCACCGTTGGTCAGAACTTAAAGGCACACTATGCAACATTTTTCAGTTAATTAATGTGTTCCATAACGTTTTGGATGATTAAATGAGTCATTTCAGGTTGAACAAAGGTATTCTCGGCCGCCCTGGTGGTCTGTGGGGGAAATACCGCACTTGCAATTGCAGGAGCACCGACCCGCACCCACAGGCTCAGAAGTCTCGCGAGAGTCAGTCTTGCTTTACGGCGAGAACTGCTTCACGCCCCCAGTTAAAAGCATGCTTGTTGCTAGCACAGTGGCGATATTTGTGCAGTTATAATGCCGGAACCAGCGAGGAAACAGCGAAAGCCCATATCGGAGCAGGCAAGAAAGAGGAAAAGGGCTCTGGACAGAGAGAGGGGTCATACACGGGTGAACCTCGGGCAAGCTTTTGCCGAATGGCGAGAGCTAAAAGAAAAAGAGGGCTGTAAGAGTGACGCCGACCTCGCGTTTCTGTTGATGCGATTGTAAGTAACTTTGGAATGGTTTCTCTCTCTCTGTGTGCATGTTCATACTTTCACTGTGTTAGTCATTATTTGTACTGCCTTTTTTTCAACTTTTGTATGATCGTGGTCTGTTGCTGAGTAGCTAAGTAGCTAGCAGGATGTTTAGAAAGTTAGCTAGCATGCTGCCTAAACTTTGTTGTTGTGGTAGGTGATAACTGCATCGCTTGCTATTTGGCAAACTTGCTTCATATGTGAAGTATCTCAAGACTGTATTTACTTTACTAAATTCCTTATTTTGCGCAGAGTGGGTTTGAATCGCGTTTTGCAATGAGCTGCATAAATCTGAAACCAGTACAAAATGTTAGCCATAAACCTCACGAGGCTAGTAACGTCATGTATAAACTAGCGTTTACTGACGATCCTAGAAGCGTTTTTTGTCTGACTGTGATTTATTGTCAACCACAGAATGCATGGTCCCTCTTCCTTTATCTAAATGAGTCCCCGACCAAAAAAGTGTCATTGTTTGTATTATGACTTTGTATATGAACATTTATTTCTCTTTGTTGAAGTTATAAGCGATGGCTAGTCACATCAACGCCAAGCAAGGCACACCCTCGACCTCCAGAGCCACCAGTGTCCAGTATAACTGAGGAATCGAATCGTGATCTGTAGGTTTTCTATCCATTGTTTTATTATTTGTGCATTTTAGTTATTTGTACCAGTTCTTATGGGCTGTTTGATTCCTCAGCATTGTTGCTGAACCGGGTGTCCAGCCACTGTCTGCAGGGGGAGAAGTAGGAGATTTGGAATCAAGGTAGGCTACAGTTCACTGCTATGAGTCTGTGATTGTCTATGTAGAACTTTTTAGGTGACCAGTGATTTATCTTATTTATCCTGACTGCAGCATGCACTCTCTGAGCATTGCTGAAGAACACCGCCCAGACTCTCCAGACAAAGAAGATACCAATGACCTGCGTAACACTGTGTAAGTGTTGTTTAGTAGTGTTTTCATTTTCTGTCAGCGTCTTTTCTCCCATCTAAAATAATTTTCATGTGGTTCCTGAACAGCATTGAGATGGATGACCTTTGGGCCGATCCAAGTGAAATGGGATTGGAAGATGGAGACAGCTCAGATGAGGATTTTGTCCCTTCTCTTCACCTACTGTATATTTGTATTGTGAATTTATTATTTTCTGGGTGAATTTATCAATATATCGTATTTTTACGACTATAAGGCGCACATACACGTATTTTTTTCCCCTCAAAATGTGCGGTGCGCCCTTTGGTGCGGTGCGCCCTATGTGTGTTGTTACTGCGACTTTTGAGACCACCTCATTGAGGAGATGATGAAAGAGTGGCTGAATCTAAGGAGACCAGGTGGTTTTTTCCACTCATCACTATGAGTGATGAGTGACTCCATGCGTGCCCATCTCACAGCTGATGTGAAAAACATGGTGAAACAAATTAACACTTTGCTTGCTGTTATTTAACTGCTCAACATCGGTGTGAACCGGACGCAGCAGGCGCAGCAGGCGCAGCAGGCGCAGCGAGTTTACATGCAAAGTCAATGGTTGACGCGCGTATAGGTGCAGCAAAAGGTCCCGCAGCGCATTTTGAGCTGCAGGTGCAGCGCGTCGGGAGCGTTTAAGCATCTGACGCACCGCCAACGCGCTGCTGCAGCTCGAGATGGAAAAATTGAAGTTTTGCTGCTGGAAGCACCGCATCAACCAATCAGAGAAGCTGATCTGGGATCTGACAGCGAGACAGACACATCGCTCTGATGACATATGATATTAACGCAAATGAAAAGGGCTGGATGGATGGGGAGATGATGAAAGCGTGGCTGAGGCAGGTGTATGTGAGGAGACCAGGTGTTTTTTTCCACGCATCACCATCGCTAAATCTGTGACTCCATGCGTGCCCATTTCACAGCCGATGTGAAAAACATGGTGAAACAAATAAACGCTGTGCTCGCCGTTATCCCGGGGGTCTGACAAAGGAACTTCAACCGCTCGACATCGGTGTGAACCGGCCGTTCAAAGTAAGGCTTCGAGCGGCGTGGGAGCGATGGATGACAGACGGAGACCACAGTTTCAGGATAAGTGGAAGGCAGCGCCGGGCAAGTTACGCCACCGTTTGCGGATGGATTGTTGATGCTTGGACTAACGTGTCTGCTGGCTCTGTTGTTCAAGCTTTCGCAAAAGCCGGCATTATTTCTGAGGAGCCGCCCGGCACGGAAAGTGACTCTGACAGCGAAGAAGGGGAAATTGGCATGTCTGATTTAGCGCAGCTGTTTTATTCAGAAACAGAGGATGATGACTTTGATGGGTTCGATTAATACTTTGTAATAAATACTTGAATAAACCACAAACATACTCAGTTTTGCTCCCGCTCTATTTTTCTACCTGAAAACTTAATTCAACAGCAGCCTCTGGCCGGGTCTCCTCTGGTTTCACCGCGGCGGCTGGCAGGCGTTTTTTCATCTAAATAATCTACATCTTGCAGCTGTATTTGCTGTGATCAGTGGGAATAAAGTAGTTTTAATATGTTTTTAAGTGAGAAAGTCCAACTGAAAACTTCATAATTGCAGTCAGTTCATCCAGGTTATTATCCTGCCTAATATTTCTGTCGGAGGCGCTCAGACCCCCACATACCAGCGGTGCACCGACATTCGAAATCCCTTCATCAGCAGCCTCTAGGCCGGGTAGCCTCCGGGTTCACTGCGGCAGCTGGCAGGTGTTTTTCATCTAAATAATTTAAACTGCAGGCACCAGGATACCGGTAATAAAAGCGAACATATTCCGTCGGCAGGTTTCAGGATTTTAAGTTAATTTAGGAGCGATCACAGCGCTCGGTCATCAGCAATGTGTCTGTCGGCCAGCTTCCAGGTTTGATTAATACTTTGTAATAAATACATGAATAAAGCACAGTCATACTCAGTTTTGCTCCCGCTGTATTTTTCAATTCGCAGTAGAGGTATTTAAACGTAGTAGAGGACATGTACCTGTATATAAAAAAAGCGCCCTATAGTCCGGTGCGCCTTATGAGTGTTAAATACAGAAATGGCACACATAACTGAGACTGCGCCTTTTAGTACGGTGCGCCTTGTGGTCGTGAAAATACGGTACTAGGGCATTTGTCAAACACAACAAATTGACCAATATTTACTTATTATTATTCTTTCTTCAGAATGGTTGGGGCTGAAACAAATGAGCTGGCTAATATAAGTGTGGATGAATTAGTGTATGACTTCGACACACCGGATCCTCCTGGCCAAGACTGAATTCACCACAGACCCACACAGAGTATCTTCTGAAGATGACCTGGTTGGCAAAACTGCAAACATTACCTTCAATGAGAATCTTCTGACTCTGGCCAGGCACTTGAGACTGCCACAGCAAAAGTGCAGTTATGTTGACAGAGTGCTTGGGGTAGCATGCCCGGGTACCCCACCATTTCAAGTGACTTTGAAACCTCGGGGGACTGGAGTAATTTTGGAATTTGTAAGTTAGATGACACTTCACCCCACACACTTCTTTTGAGTCCCTAGCCCCATTTCACATATGGGGACATGATAGCCAGTAAATGTATGAAGACTCTTAGAAGTCTGCTGGTAGAAAAGTTATGTACTTGTGTGAATTTGCATGTGTTGATTTTGTAAATGTATATTTTTTATTTTTAGATGTGGTGCTACTTTCTTTACAGTTATGCCCCTTCAGACACTCCTTGTGGAAGTGGCATTCTCAGCCGACCCTGAGGTTTGGTATGCAGGGTGGTGACTTCATGCTGTCTGCCAACATTCTCCTGTCTGGCAACAACTACAGGAAAGTAGCCTTGCTGTTCAAGTTTATGGCAATGGGGATGGTCTCAGTGTCAACTTTCTTCAGGATACAAGATGCCTACTGCATCGAGCCAGTGCAGGAGTACTGGGACAAAACCAGGGCAGAAGTCTTGGAAAGTCTTCGACAAAAGGACCGCGTTGTTGTCCTAGGTGAGGCCAACTTCTATTACACATACAATTCTGTCACCGGTTTTGATGGAAGGATTTACTCTGGAATCTGAGTATCTAATACCTGTAATGTTTGTTTTCAACAGGTGATGGCAGAATGGACTCCCCTGGTAAGTTCAAGTGACTTTTGTTGTTCGTCATGTTATGTTGTCTTATGGCCTGTATTTAGATTCATAAGTAGTGATGGGTCGATGAGGCATCATGAAGCCTTTTGACACATTGCCAAACTGTATTGATATTGTGCCAATACTGTGTCACTGAATACTGACACCTGGTGGACGTTAAAAATCACTACAGGCAACCTGGTTGTCAGAGTTTACTGACACTGATTTGATGACCAAGTATGCACAATACAATTTAAATCATTGTATGTTGCATTGTATTTTATATTTTCAATTTAGTTAAACATGTATTTGATTTTTTTTTTATATAGTCAATAAATAAAGTGAACTTGTATCATAATATAATAACCTCTAAGTAAACATGTTGTGTAGGAGGATGCTTGTGGACTGGCTTTTTTTTATTTATTTTTTTTACAAATTATTTGATGCCATGTCCTTTCAATCTGTTCTGAAACCGGAAATGCTGAGTATGACAAAGGGAGGAAGAACTACTCAGAGTAGCAGCTTTCTACTAAGGGTAGATCAGCTTTTTTTTCAGAAACAACGCTCAGAACAAAGATGCACAACGCAACCTGCCCAACCCATCCATCAGTGGTGCGTTCCGATCAGCACCTGGCGCTCACAGAGCGAGACTGTGGTACACCATCACACCAGATTTGCGAAATAGTTAAAAATTAACCATTATTAACCGTCATTTTTTTACAGTTCAGCTTTGATTTTATTTACTGCGCAGCATAGCTTTGGTGTGCGCGCTGCTGTGCGCGAATGCACAAGTGTACAGCTTAGAGGGAATAGAAACAGATTGGTGCATCAGTCAGTTCGAAACAGTTCCTGTATCGGTCACGTAACGTTCCCTTGTCGATACGTGCATCGACACCGGTTTTGCTGTATGAGCTCGACACATGCGCCGACGCATCGGTGTTGCCGGATCCATCACTAATAATAAGGATTGCCTACTATGTCTAATTTGTGAAGCTGTCTGAAGTAAACCCTCTTGTAGGAATGGTGTGCATCTCACTGTTAGTAACAGTTATTTGAGGTTCTGAAACTACTCAATTAGCATCACATTAGACCTTGTTCTGTGCACAGACCATGCAGTTCATCTCTCAATGTCTAGCCATTGTGTCCTGACCGACCAGTAGGCTGGACCACCCTTTTTCTGATGCTATTCATTTGTGTAGTTGCAAACATGCTTGACATGTGCAAACTGTTTTTAAAAATGCACACATGTATGCTGACATCAGTGCTGTTGTTGCAGGTCATTGTGCACAGTTTTGCACATACACCACCATAGAGCAAGACTCCAGAGACATTGTCCACATCGTCTCTGTTGATAAGCGAGAAACCAACAGGAACTCGGTCATCATGGAGAAGGAGTGCTTTATTCGTACAATGGAAGCTCTCCTTCCAGAGCTTGCTATCAAAGAAGTTGTCACTGATGCCCACCCACAGAGCAGTGCATTGTTGAGTGAGTTGTTTTTCCTGTATTATTTGAAGTCGGTTGAAATTGTATGTAGGTTTTTGGGTTGTGATGTAGTTCAACATTTTTTTTTTTTTTTCTTTTACAGATCCAGAGCGTGGTAAATACAAAGCATGGGGGATTCAACACTCACTGGATATATGGCATGCAGCTAAAAGTCTAAGCAAGAAGCTTCGACGGGTACAGTATGATTCACACTATTTGTACCTTTTGTAATAGACACATCTTGTCCACTTAATATTAGGTTGGGATAGTTTGGCGCTGAATATTGATGATTTATGTGTTACTCTTGTGTGCCAGGTTGGGACTGTAAAAAATCAAACAATTATTCAAGCCTGGATCAAGGACATTGTTAATCACTTTTGGTACTGCAGTAAGCATGCTGTAACTGAGGAGCAGTTCAAGGTATGTCAAGTGAAAATGTATATATTTTGACCAGGTCTCCTCCTTACGCTGGCAGACATTGCTTGTCTCTGTATGCACTGTATGTAATTTTCCTTTTTTGCAGATGATGTGGGTTGGCGTGCTGCACCACGTACGGGACGAGCACTCTTGGGCAACTGGGTGCTGTCAGCACGAGCCACTGGAGGAAGGCAGCCAGGAGAAGCCATGAATCAAACAAGGTATTTTCAGTAAATGAATGCAGAAGTTGAACTCCCTGTCCAAATCTGTGTGTATGTGTATATGTGAATTGTAAGGTTATCATTACAGGTTCTGCCGCTCACAAGGCATTGGCTGGAGTTGTGCTCGACAAGCGATGGTTGGGCCTGGTGAAAAAGTTCTTGAACTTCAGGTATGCATCTAGTCATTCATTGCATAGAACAAGTTGTTGCTATTATTCCATCGTAGTCTGTAATTTGGGTATGTTTAGTCATTTCATGTTAGTGTGTTATTCTCATCACCCATTCCTGTCCCACCTTTATAGGACCACATCTGATTTGGAGTCCTTCCAAAATCACCTCCTCATGTACTCATCAAAGCGGCACGCCTACACACCTAGGGTTGGGAATTGAAAAGATTTTCACGATTCCGATTCCCTTTTCGATTCTATGAAATGATTCGATTCTTTATCGATTCTTTTTTCGATTCCAATTTGGGGGAAAAAGGAGAACAAACAGTTTGATTATCAGCATCAACTTTGTTTACTTAACTATTGCACAATCTTACAAACTCAACAAGATCAAGATGTCCACAGGAAATGTGAAACTGGAGTAACATCTGTGTTTAAATGAAAAATAAATATACAAGAACAAACTTAATAACCAACAATGTCTAATAACAAATGATGGGATAATAACCTATTTTAAATAACAAAAAATACTAATTATAAAAGAGTAGTAGGGAAAATTAACAGTTATTTTGCAGAAAGATGAGCATATCTGCTTTTTCTGGAAGGATACAGGATCTTTCAGGGCTTATGGTGTCTCCAGCCGTGGAGAACACCCTCTCAGATGGGGTGGAGGAAGCCTGCACACAGAGGTAGTTTTCAGCCAGTCAGATAGCAAGGGCAGCGTATCTTGCTTGTTCCACCACCACAGTGTGGCGCTATCCCTGCAGGGGATTGAGGGCAAGCTTTTATAGAGCTGGATTTCCTGATCTACCCTCTGGGCTAAGGAAAGACGGGGCTTTGATTCACAAAGTGACCGCAGCTCGTCGTCTTCCTCCTCGAATAGTTCTTCCAACTTGCGTAACTTGCGTAACTTGCGTAGCTTACGTAACTTACGTAAAAAACGTGACGTAAGTCGTGCTCCCCAGAGCCGGCGCTCTAGGCTCTGGTGCTGCGGGAATCGAAAAAAGAATCGTTCAGTGAGCTGCCAAACGATGCCATGGAATCGGAAAATATGGAACCGGTTCTTAACAGGAACCGGTTTTCGATTCCCATCCCTATACACACCATTTGTCTACAAGACAAGGACACTACTGGCTGCCATTGACTACAACAAGCACAATGGGCGCCTTCCTGCACGCAACCTGGATGGTTGAAAAATGTATGTTTCTACTGTAATGTTTCTGTTGTGAATGTCTTACATTGTAAACAAATTTGGCTATATTGATTTCAACACATGGCTCTGTTTATTACTTTCTAGCTACAGACGCTCATACAACAAGAAGTCAAAGAGCTGGAGTGTCCACACCATGAAGGAAAAGAAGCAGTACAGCTACATTCCTGACCTTCAGAGGGCAATTCTGGCAAGGAGGCTGGGAAGTTGCAAAGGCCTTCCCCGCAAGCAGTCTTTGAGGTCTGCTGACCCAAGGCGCCTTGGTTTGCTGGCACCGGAACAGCCACCACCTACAGCTGAACTTGTAAGCATACATGTGTCCCGTGGGGACTTGGGCCACAGAGACACAGAGGACCTGGAGGACTGAGCAGATGGATGTTTACGATCCAAAGCATTTGAATTCTGTAAATAGGAAGTTAGGAGGCACTTTTCTCTTGTGGTGAAACATGTACAGATCTTTATTTGTAAATAAACTTTGAAAGCAATGTGTGTTGTGCTGGTATGTCAATAAAGCAAAAATGTAAAAAATAGAATAGAACTATGTACAATTAGTTAAAAAATTTACAACAAGCGCTGCACCCTAAAACCAGTGTACTGGCCCCTTGGGTCAGGGAATTTATCCCTGATGCGACACACATAACAGCTGGGTATCACAACCCTGTTGCCCACACCCAGGCGTCCGTGCTGCCACAGGACAAACTGACGGTAAGCTGTATGCCTGAACTGCCGCTGGTCTACCCCAGGTTCAGGGTTATCCTCCAGGGCAAAGATGTCGTTCCATGCAGCACGAGCCAGCCCCAACACACCCTCATCCAAAATATAATAGTCCATATGGTCCATTTTACTGACACAGTCCTGTGGTGACTGCCGACAGCACTTTCTCTCCAGATCTGTGTCCATTTCTCTGCAGTTGCCACAGATGCACCAGTGTAGACCAGCTGGGTCAGGGACAAAGACAGGGCTCTCTGGAACGTCCAGGAAATGCATGACGTCAATCTTAATGCCTGGTGACCGTTGCACCATTATATCCAGAATTCTGTCCTTCTGGATAGGGTCCAGGGAATAAAGTTTGTCCTACAACACAACAATTAGTTTTATTATGTGACACTAAGAATATCTAAAATCTAATTAGTATCAGTGTTATTACACACCTTTATTTCAGCCTTGCGCCTGTCTTGGAGGTCCTGTAACCTCTTCTGTTCAGTTGAGTCCAGTCTTGCACCCCTCCACTTTGGTGTTCTCTGCCTGGTTTTGGGCTTTGCACCCCTACCCCTTCCGCCTATAGCTTGAACAGATGACTCAGACGAAGCTGATGTTGAAGATGATTCCTGCAATATTATCACAGAGCTGTTGTCAATAACAAGTTTAGCCTACATATAATAGCTCATAAGTCCTGAGCCTCAAACTATTTTGTGTCTAGTCATACTATGGCAGACTATCTGATTATCTACCATACTATTTCAAATATTTCTGATGCATGCATTAGGTTGTTTAGACCATTTTAAATTCTTTGAAATTTACTAATTCAGTGCTTGAGGTACAAAACCACAGAAATCAGAACCCCCTTCCCCCAACTACAGTCGGATAAATGTATGGGAAACTCCAACTTAGCTAACTACAATCTTTGTTATTTAGACACATACATAGCAAATAATGTATGAAAACATGCTAAATTTTCAAACTCGAAAACTGGAAGAAAATAGTCACATACCGCAGTAGACATGGTGATTTGTTGCGTTCACCTCTCTGTTAAGCTCAAAACAACGGTGCCTGGCTTGACGGAGAAACCAGGAGAACGGCTGAGCATATTTACGACAGTGCAATTTTACTTTCGCCCTCTGGGGTGAGCCTCGCTGGAAAATCAACACCGGTTGCATAGTGTACCTTTAACTTGTACAAGCATAAAAAGCACGCGCATTTTTCGTGCTCCTGCTGCGTGCGGTCTAAATGTAGCATAAGAGGCTGATCTCGGATTTTCCATCATATTTATAAAACAGTACATGTGACCCTTGTTGCCAGCATAGTGAATTTGTTTTTATATTTCAGAATACCTCCAGTGACTTTTCTTTAAAAATGCAACAAACAACCAATCTAGTGACTTTTTTTCTGTTGTTGGAGATTCTATTTACAATGCACATGGTTAGGGCTACGTTCTAATGAAGAATCTCCAATAATGTTAGAAGAGGTGGAAAAAGTACTAAAATATCATACTCAAGTAAAAGTACCAATACTTGGATGAAATATTACTCAAGTACAAGTAAAATTTACCATCAGAAAAATTACTCAAGTAAAAGTAATAAGTAGCTAATTTAAAATGTATTTTAAGTAAAAGTTACTTAGTTACATAAAAAAAAAAAAAAACTGTTGCCAACCCTGCCAAGATAGTGCTGCGGGAAACATTGACTTAAAGGCACACTATGCAACATTTTTCAGTTAATTAATGTGTTCCATATCGTTTTGGATGATTAAATGAGTCATTTCAGGTTGAACAAAGGTTTTCTCGGCCGCCCTGGTGGCCTGTGGGGGAAATACCGCACTTGCAATTGCAGGAGCACCGACCCGCACCCACAGGCTCAGAAGTCTCGAGAGAGTCAGTCTTGCTTTACGGCGAGAACTGCTACACCCCTCAGTTAAAAGCATTCTTGTTGCTAGCACAGTGGCGATCTTTGTGCAGTTATGCTACGTTCACGCAGCAAAAGCAGCAAAATCGCATCTGCTGCTTCATTTTTGCTGCTTGTACCAGTTAGTTCTGACGCGCGGCTAAAGCAGCTTTGCTGCTCTGGCTGCGCGGTCCAAAAGTGGCTCTGACGCGCGTTGGGCGGAGCTACTCTATCCTTTCTCTGCCTTGCAGCTATATTTGCTGTGATCAGCGGGAATAAAGTAGTTTTAATATGTGTTTAAGTGAGAAAATACACCTGAAAACGTAATCAGTGCCGTCAGTTCATTCAGATTATCATCCTGTCTTCAATATTTTTTCTGTCGGAGCCGCTCAGACCCCCACATACCAGCGGTGCGCCGACAGTAGGAATTCCTTCATCAGCAGCCTCTGGCCGGGTCGCCTCCTCGCGGTTCCCCGCGGCAGCTGGTAGGTGTTTTTCATCTAAATAATCCAAACTGCATATTCTGCCGGCAGATTTCTGCATTTTAAGTCAATTTAGGCGTCAATAAACTGTTTAAGAGGAGAGATCATAGCCTCTGATCATCAGCGCTGTGTCTCTCTCCCTGCGTCTCCCTACGCGCTGCTTCAGCTGCTCAGACGCGCTGCGCCTGCTGCTTAAAACGCGCCGCAGGACCTTTTGCTGCGCCTTGACGCATGTCAACCAATCGACTTTGCATGTAAACTCGCTGCTTCTGTCCCGCCAGCTGCGGTGTGAACGCAGCATTAGTCATTCGTTGTGTTTGCCTGCTAAATTTTCAAACTCGAAAATTGGAACAAAATAGTCCCATACCGCAGTAGACATGGTGATTCGTTGCCTTCACCTGTCTGTTAAGCTCAAAACAACCGCGCCTGGCTTGACGGAGAAACCAGGAACTGTTAAGGAAGAAAATATTCTAAATAGTTAACTTTGGAAAAAGGTTGGGTGTTTCTCTTCCTCTCCCAGGTGCGCTCAGCGAGCTGCGTGTGGCCCCCAAGGAAAACCAGCAAGATATGCGAACGTCACAGAATCACAGAATTTAATCCAACAAAAAACAGCTTATGAATTAACAACAAAACTGCAGAACAACAGAGACATACATTCCATTACCTGACATAGGAGGAAAGAAAGCAAAGAGTACAGAGACATCTTTGGAGAGTTGCAAGGGCAAATCTGATCTGTAACTTCTATTTAGAAAGCTTTATCCTCTTGTATCTAATCCATTCAAAAAGGGCTGGCCCTCGGTCCTCCAACCAAAAGCCATCTCTGACACTGCCTAAAACTTTACCTAATTTACTGCAAACATCTGGGGTCATTTGCTTCTTTGTTTTAACAAGAAAAGGCGGAAAGCTTGTCCTGG